TATTTAATAAACTCGGTGTTGCTTGATTTCTATTCTAACTATGCAACATTACACAAGAATAAACAAATGAATCTTGTGTCATGACGCCCATTTCTCATTAACAAATCCCCACAACACTCTTCGTCAGGGGTGGCCAACCCTGTTCCTGGAGAGCCACCTTGCTGCAGATTTCAGTTGCTACCCATATCAATCACACCTGAACCAATTAATTAGGACTTGAACAGTACTTGATAATTACAGGCAGGTGTGTTTGATATGGGTTGCAACTGAAATCTGCAGGAAGGTGGCTCTCCAGGAACAGGGTTGGCCACCCCTGCTCTACGTCAAGGAAATCGTGCCGAAATCGTGACAATTGTGTGTGATCTGACCAAGGCTTTATTCAAAAGTTGTGTAGCTCATGTATTTCCTCCATGTATTTAATAAACCACTAGTATCTGCCATTTTATATTATTGCCAACTGCTTTAAACGAATCCCAATTCCGCCAAAATTGCTGCATCCCAAATGAAAACACTAAATCTAAAGAGTTGCTTCATGTTGCACACACTTTATCCAAACATGCAAAACATGTACCTTAGATAATAAACAGTCCTGAACCTCAGGGTTTTGCTCAAATGCTACTTCAGCATCCAGAACCAACACGGGCACTTTCATCAGCTGCTCGAAATGAAGCCTGTGTGCAGAGAGAGAAGAGCACAAATCAAGCTCTGGTCTCCTCCACACAATACACAGCCCACAATCAGCAGCATTCTGAGTGTTACTCAAAGACCCAGTTCACCCAAAATATGTGAAAAAACTATTAAAGGCTCCATCCGAAAACTTATCAGCTGACAGTCTGACAGCCATCAAAACTAAAAAACATCTTGTGGGAAATTGTTTGAGATGGCAGTAAAGAGACTGACGTGGTAGTCTTGTTGATGAGCCAGTCTTCATGTCTGGTGTGCAGTTTCTCCAGGTAATCCAGCTCGATCTCTTGTTCCTCTACTCGAGCACGCCTGTTTAACCTCTCCAGACACATCTGCACAACAACAATCAACATTCATTTAAGGTTTAGAATCCATCCATATCTATTTGTCCTTTCTGTTCATCTATCCATCTGTCTGTGCACCTATCAAGCCATTGGTCCATTTATCCATCCATCCATCCATCTATTCGTCCATCCAACTGTTCATTCAACCATTAATTAGCCTATCTGTCTATCCATTTGTCTATGCATCCGTACATCCATCAATTAATCTGTTTGTCCATCCATCCATCCATCCATCTGTCCATCCATTAATCTATCTGTCCATCCATCCATCCATCCATCCATCAATTGGTCTATCTGTCCATCCATTTGTCTATTTATCCGTACATCCATCAATTAATCTATCCGTCCATCCATCTATCCGTCCATCCATTAATCTGTCTATCCATCCATTAATCTATCCATCCATCTATCTATCTGTCCATCCATTTGTCTGTCCATCAATTAATTTATCCGACTGTCCATCCATCCATCCCTCCATCAATCCATCCATTTGTCTATGCATCCGTATGTCCATCAATTAATTCATCAGACTGTCCATCCATCCACGTATTAATTTGCCCATCCATTAATCTATCATTCAATCTATCTATCCGTCCATCCATCTGTTTATCCATCTAACTGTCTGCCTATCAATCAATCCATAAATTTGTCTGTCTGTCTATCCATCCATCCATCAATTGGTCTATCTGTCCATTTGTCTCTGCATCCGTCCATCCATCCATCCACCCATCTATCTCTTAATCCATCCATGTATTAATTTGCTCATCCATCCATCCATCTATCTATCAATCAATTCATAAATGTGTCTGTCTATCCATCCATTCATCCATCCATCAATTGGTCTATCTGTGTCCATTTGTCTCTGCATCCGTCTATCCATCCATCCATCCATCCATCTCTTAATCCATCCATGTATTAATTTGCCCATCCATCCATCTATCTATCTATCAATCAATCTATAAATTTGTCTGTGTCTATCCATCCATCCATCAATTGGTCTATCTGTGTCCATTTGTCTCTGCATCCGTCTATCTATCTATCTATCTATCTATCTATCTATCTATCTATCTATCTATCTATCTATCTATCTATCTATCTATCTATCTATCTATCCATCCATCTATCTATCTATCCATTTGTCTTTCAAATGGTTGTAATTATTTGAGTTTCTTCCTTCTGTTGAACACAAAACAAGATGCGCTGAAGAATGTTGGGTAAAAAGCAGCCATTGACATCCATAATAGGAACTAAAAATACAAAGGAAGTCAATGGCAGCTCTCCAGAGTATTGTTCATTTCAGCAGCACATCGATGACAGTGATGTAGCTAAAAAGTATTAAAACCACCATCAGTATGAACGGTAGCAGTGCAGACCTGTGGAGAAGCGCGCAGGTAAATGATGCCCTCCAGCTGAACCCGATGCCCAAACTGCTCAATGAGGAACGAGTGCCAGTCCTGATACACAGCCCACTCGGTGGAGTTTATACAGCCCAGAGCAAACATGTTCAGAGCGAAGATATACCTGAGAGAACAACACACACATGGACATGCAACAGGTAAAATGAACAGCTCTGACCATAAAACCCTTGAGTGTGATCAGTGATTATACCTGTCACTATAGACGGAGCGCTCATACACACGCACCGCTCCTCCTCTAGACCGCAGGAGTGTGTCCGGCAGCGGCTGCAGCTGTGTGCGCAGACGGCTCATGCAGGAGAAGCTCTGGAAGGTGTAGGACCAGCGCTTCGGGTCACGATACATCATCTCCAGCAGGTTACTGGTGCACGGCTGAGGACTGGACGCTGTCTGATGGAGAGTAAACAAACAGCACAAGAGACTTTAAAGTGCAATTTTCTTTCAATGTTTGACGTAAACTCAAATTAAACACGAAGAGAGAGGTTGGTTATGATTTGATGAGAAACTGAAGTATGAGGTGACGTGAATACAACTGTTGATCCATTTAGGCTTGACAAACTGCAAGCTTAACATGTTTATATCCGTGTTATATCTTCTAAATGCAAATTCTGTTAATGTTTTAGAGCACACTAGCTAATAGACATCCTAATAACATACAATATTGACACTAACAAATTTAAAAAAAACTTTATTTTAATTTCATGGGACGTTTAATAACTTTACACATTTGGGGTTTACGTCTCACAATGATGAGAAATAAGTTGCAATGATCTTTTTTTAATTGTTTTACTCAGGCTTCCATACGGCACTGATTTTAGGACTGTGTTTTCCACTGACCGGAGGTGTTTGGTCCACATTCTGCCATTTGCTGACAGGCTCCGCAATCACATCCCAGTCAGGACAGGCGTTCTGGAGCAGTCGAGCGAAGGTGGACTTCCCAACCGCTTCACACACACAAAAAACAGCACTTTACAATGACAAAACAAGATAAACCCAGTACCAATGTTTCACTGTCAACAGCTGGGATTTATTTTTCTCAGCTTTACTTGATGAATAAAGATCAGAGGAACTGATTTTTCTGAAATAGAAACCTTCTAAATGACTTTATCAATCCTTTTGATAAATTTAACGCATCCTTGCTAAAAAAAATTCTATTATAAATCATTTACAAAAAACATTTAATTTAGTATAGTACACAGACACACACATTATTTATGTTTATATAGTATGTTGTGTGTTTATACAATATACATTTAACATAATTATTATAGGTATAATGTTACAAAACCTTTATATTTCAATTAAATGCTGATTTTAAAAAAAATCTTATCAAATCACAGAAAACATATGGCTTTACAATAACAACACTGGGAATATTATTATAGTACCGACACATTTACACCAAATAAACTTGTAACTGAGCTGCTCACGAGGGAATTAGTGTAAAATGGCAAACGTTATTCCACAAATTACCTAAATTCAGTAAACTTATCGTTTTATACATAACATTAGCGTTGTGTCTCATTTAAGCAGTATGATTTACAAAATAACAACATCGCTGACGTTACAAGAGCAAAACAACGTTACCAATATTTCCTTCGATTGAGACTCGTTTTATGTAATTGTTTGTACTCATGAGGTTCCTCGGTGAACAGAAAAGAGCAGAGCTCGATAAAAGACGCTTTGCCGTTTTTATAATCATCCCTGAGGAAAAATAATATTTACATCTCTAAAAAAAAACACGAGACTATTTTGACAAGTTTACATGAGTCAAGCGGCTTAGCCAAAGCGTGTTTCCGGCTGAGGAATGTTTAGTTTCAAAATAAAAGCACTAGGAACTAACCTCGCAACAACGTTGAGTACTTAAATACCACATACATACATAAGTGTATGTATATATATATATATATATATATATATATATATATATATATATATATATATATATATATATATATAAAGTTTGTTTCAGAAGAGATGCTCTTTAAATTCACAATAATATATATATATATATATATATATATATATATGTATATATATATATATATATATATATATATATATATAATTTATTTATTTTTTTAAACAGTAAATAGTCTTGATAGCAAAGATGCTCTTTAGATATAAAATAAAAGTCTTTTACTGACCTCGCAACAACGTTGAGAATAAAATACCTTAACAATAACTTTGTAACACTTTAAAATAATAGTTAATGCAACATATCTGAATTATTTTATGCACACATTATATATATATTTTTTTTTTCCAACAATGTACTATATTATTTAAATAAAATTTTAATGTAGTCTTGACTAATTTTAACCGACATAAGACAAGATGCTTTTTAGATTCAAAATAAAAGTCCCTTTGAAACGCATCAACCTCACGACAACGTTGAGAGAACAAAAAATCTATCACAATAACTCCTTTCTAACACGTTGAAATGATACAATTAATGCAACATGCATATGAATTATTAAAAACTCATATTGTTGTATTCAAAGTAAATAGTAATCTTGACTATCTTTAACCGATGTAATAACAGAACAAGACGCTCTTGTAAAAATGTTCTAAAATTTATTTTTTAACTACAAATAAAACACACCAGATGTGTCCGTTGTGCTCTAGATATTGCTTTAAAAGTAGATTTATCTACTACATGGGGGGAAAACATTGTAATAATCTTCATTATTGATTATGCATTCACAGAGAAAGGAAAACATATAAAAATGACGTTTGTCTCAACTTACAAAACAACAACAAAAATTAATATTGACATTTCCCCAAATCCTTTACTTCCAAACATTATAAAAGGACGAGACTAAAAACAGCTGATTTAGTTTTACTTTCATAAAAAAACAAACTCTGACATAGTTTCATATCCTAATCCACCAGCAATACATGTCAAAAGTAAAGTTTACAGTGTAATACTGACAACGAAAACTGACAAAAACAGAAACACACACACACACACACAAAGATTTCACAAAGTCTCCTTCTACAAGCTTTGAGGAAGCACAGCTGAGATATTGCAAAGACAATCAGAGTGCAGAAACGGCACTTTCAGGTCCCGAAACGAGAACAGAAGAAACATGACTGTATTAAGGCTGACCAATGTGGCATAAACAGCAATGTCTATCTATCCTTGCTGCCCAGTTTCTCGATGAGGTCCTGCAGGGGTGCCAGCTCTCTGCGGTCGATCAGATTGAACTCCTGAAAACAACAATTAACAGCAGAGTATTGGATGAAACGGCTCAGAAAGTGCCCCTTGTACACTACTGGTCAAACATTTTAGATCAGTAAGGTTTGTTATAAGGCTGCACGATATTTTACATTGCGATATTTCTTTCTTTTAGCGCTATATATTGCGATATAAATACAAATTCACCAGATGACTTCAACAGATCTATTTGCCAAGTCATTACTTTAGATGAATTGGGTTGATTTTGTAGGGGGGGGGGTGGAATACACTTACCGGCCACTATATTAGGTACACCTGTCAAACTGCTTGTTAACGGAAATTTCTAATCAGCCAATCACATGGCAGCAACTCAATGCATTCAGGCATGTAGACATGGTCAGGATGATCTGCTGCAGCAAAGCGAGCATTGGAATGGGGAAGAAAGAGGATTTCAGTGACTCTGAATGTGGCATGGTTGTTGGTGCCAGACGGGCTGCTCTGAGTATTTCAGAAACTGCTGATCTACTGGGATTTTCACGCACAACCATCTCTAGGGTTTACAGAAAATTGTCTGAAAAAGAGAAAATATCCAGTGACCGGTTGTTATGTGGGCACAAATGCCTTGTTGATGCCAGAGGAGAATGGCCAGACTGGTTCCAGATGATAGAAAGGGAACAGTAACTCAAATAAGCACCTTCTGATGGATACTTCCAGCAGGATAACGCACCATGTCATAAAGCGTGAATCATCTCAGACTGGTTTCTTGAACATGACAATGAGTTCACTGTACTCAAATGGCCTCCACAGTCACCTGAACTCAATCCAATATAGCACCTTTGGGAAGTGGTGGAACGGGAGATTGGCATCATGGATGTGCAGCCGACAAATCTGCAGCAACTGTGTGAGGCTATCATGTCAGTATGGAGCAAAATCTCTAAAGAAAATATTATTAGTATCTTGTTGAATCTACGCATCGAGGGATTAAGGCAGTTCTGAAGGTAAAAGAGGCTCAAACCCAGTACTAGTAAGATGTACCTATTAAAGTGGCCGGCATTATATCATGTCTTGTAAGGGGTATGCAACATGCTTTTATGCAAGAAAAATTTCAGAAATAAGCCTGACAATAAAGTTTGTATTGTATTGCTGTTTTTTTAATTAATAAAAAAATAAAAATGTATAAACAAAAGTGTTCTAAAACATTTGACCAGGAGTGTACTTATTAAAAATAAACTGTGTGTGTGTGTGTGTTCATACACTGACCTGTACAAAGAAGATAAAATGCTTGAAGGAGGTGTTAAGATGAGCCTCCTCCTGCAGCTGTATGACCGCGTCGAAATGCTGGTGGTAGATGTGAGCGTAAACTCTGAACAGACGCTTCAGGATCGTTTTAGCCACTGACATAAAGTTCTTGGGGAAAGGGACACCTGGAACAAGTAAAAAGATTGTATGAAAAGGTTTCACTGCACCTCTGTGTTCATAACCAATGTAACCATACAAACCAATCTTAGACGGGAAGAGAGTTTCATCATCCAGCTGATCCTGAACCCAAGTCATCAAGTAGTCGATGTATTTGGGAGCAGAACACTTGATGGGTTTCTTGATGTTGGTGCCGTCTGCCCAGTGGTACTCATACCTGTCCATTTTATTAAGAGATTTAATTTCAGGTAAAATATGTACTTTTGTATGTACCAACAAAAAAATATATCTTTGAGTTAATTTGGGTATGTTAACATTCTTGAGGAACATTGATTAAATGTACACTGTCCCTTTTTGTGAAATAAATAAGCTTAAAACTAAAAAATTCATTTACACACCACTCGCATTTATCAAACCTTTATGAGTTTCTTTCTTCTGTTGAATATAAAAGATGCAGACTATTTTCTACTATGGGAGTCAATGGTTACCGGTTTTCAGCATACTTCAAAACATCTTATTTTGTGTTCAACAGAATAAGTCTTTTTTCCTACTATGAGAGTCAATGGTTACCGGTTTTCAGCATTCTACAAAATATCTTCCTTTGTGTTCAACAGAATTTAAATTTTTTACTACTATGGAAGTCAATGGTTACCGGTTTTCAGCATTTTTCAAAATATTTTCTTTTGTGGTCAACAGAATAAGATTTTTTTTCTAATATGAAAGTCAATGGTTATCGGTTTTTAGCATTCTACAAAATATCTTCCTGTGTGTTCAACAGAATTTAAATTTTTTACTAATATGGAAGTCAATGGTTACCGGTTTTCAGCATTCTTCAAAATATCTTTTGTATTCAATCGAAAAACTTTTTTTCCTACTATGAAAGTCAATGGTTATCGGTTTTTAGCATTCTACAAAATATCTTCCTGTGTGTTCAACAGAATTAAAATTTTTTCCTACTATGAAAGTCAATGGTTATCGTTTTTCAGCATTCTTCAAAATATCTTCTTTTGCGTTCAACAAAATAACTTTTTTCCCACCATGAGAGTCAATGGTTACCGGTTTTCAGCATTCATCAAAATATCTTCTTTTGTGTTCAATAGAATAAGACTTATTTTTTAAACACTATGAAAGTCAATGGTTACCGGTTTTCAGCATTCTTCAAAATATTTTCTTTTGTGTTCAACAGAATAAGACTTTTTTCCCCCAGTTCCCACCATGGGACTCAATGGTGACCGAATTTCAGCATTCTTCAAAATGTCTTCTTTTGTGTTCAACAAAACATCTTTTTTCCCCCACCAAGAGTCAATGGTTACCGGTTTTCAGCATTCTTCAAAACATCTTCTTTTGTGTTCAACAGAAGAAACTTATAAAAGTTCAGAACCACTTAAGGTAGAATAAATGTAAATTTGTAGTGAACTAACCCTTTAAGTGAGAACATTAGTCTTGGAGTATGAGCTGCATAGAGTATACGTTATAAATTACCTGGGCCCTGCTGACATTACAGAGCACTTGACTTCTGTGCAAAATTCAGTGATTGTGCCATACAGCATGTTGATCTGGTTGAAAAAGTCCACCGCTAAAAAAACAAAAAACATAATTAAATGACACATAATTATGATGTATACTGTGTTTATCCTCAAAAGCATCTCCACAGAGACTCACTGTTGACAGCGATCCACTCATTGAGGTCTTCTCCCTCGGGCAGCATCACCGCGGCTCGCAGATTTCCGCTTCCCAGAGTGGCTTCTGCATGTTTGAGCAGCTCATACTGGTGAGAGCCTTCTGGGATGTTCTTCTTCGGCTTGAATGTCTTCGATGAACGGTTTCCGCTGAAATCAAATGGTCAGAAATCTAATTATACAGTTGAAGTATTAGACCCCCTGTATATTTTTATCCTCAATTTCTGTTTAACGGGAAAGACGACACATTTCTGAGCATAATAGTTTTAATAACTCATCTCTAATCACTGATTTATTTTATCTTTGCCATGATGACAGTAAATAATATTTGACTAGATATTTTTCAAGACACTTCTATACAGCTTAAAGTGACACTTAAGGTTTAACTAGGTTAGATGTTAGGGTAATGAGACAAGTCATTGTATAACAGTGCTTTGTTCCATAGCCAATCAAAAACAAATATTAGATATAATATTAGATATAATATTAGGCCAAAACAGTTCAGATTCATGAGAGTCACTAACCATAATAGAGTGAACGCTTATGATTTAATAAGCGTTAATTTGGGTATGTTAACATTCTTGAGGAACATTGATTGAATGTACACTGTCCCTTTTTGTAAAATAAATAAGCTGAAAACTAAAAAATTCATTTACACACCACTCGCATTTATCAAACCTTTATGAGTTTCTTTCTTCTGTTGAATATAAAAGATGCAGACTATTTTCTACTATGGGAGTCAATGGTTACCAGTTTTCAGCATTGTTCAAAACATCTTATTTTGTGTTCAACAGAATAAGTCTTTTTTCCTACTATGAGAGTCAATGGTTACCGGTTTTTAGCATTCTACAAAATATCTTCCTTTGTGTTCAACAGAATTTACATTTTTTACTACTATGGAAGTCAATGGTTACCGGTTTTCAGCGTTTTTCAAAATATTTTCTTTTGTGGTCAACAGAATAAGATTTTTTTTTCTAATATGGAAGTCAATGGTTACCGGTTTTCAGCATTCTTCAAAATATCTTTTGTATTCAACCGAAATGTGCTTTTAAGGCATGTGACTGTGAGCTTTTCGAAAGAGTTTAAAGCAGTGGTGTCCAAACTCCAGGGGTATCCTGGAGAGTTTAGCTCCAACCTTGTAGGACTCCCACTACAATTAGCTAATTCCTCAGACTTTTATTGACTAAGCAAAAGCTGCAAATAACCTTCACTTGTTGAGGTTGTACAATAATGATGTTCTCATGTCACACTCAGAGTCCCAATAAGCAGTGAACCAAACTCAGTGCACTTACTAGTGCCCCAAATTTATGCACATAACCTTGATTAAGACACATTTAAGACTTAAAGCATTCAGGAAACAAGATTTTTTTTATTTGATTTGACTTTCTTTATCTTTGGCTTCACCACATACTTACTCCAACATCCACATCATATATGTCACAAAAAGAGACTAAATACATTCAATATCATCAGATAAATCACAATAAATATGAAATTAACTCCATGCATACTTAAAACCCAGTATTTAAAATTCTAATGACACACATGACATGTCATGCACCTTTTTTATTTGAGGTTGTCTAAAAGGTCTTTTTGATGCCAAAAGGCATCTTTAATAATGACGTGCTTTCTGTATTCTAATTATTCATTCTTTTTGGCTTAGTCCCTTCATTAATCCGGGGTCGCCACAGCGGAATGTGGAGGAAACCGGAGCACCTGGAGGAAACCCACGCGAACGCAGGGAGAACATGCAAACTCCACACAGAAACGCCAACTGAACCAGCTGAGGCTCAAACCAGCAACCTTCTTGCTGTGAGGCGACAGCACTCGCAACTCTTTTGACCCAATTCTTATATACCATCTCCCAAATATGCTGACTCAGAGAACAAAGTGTTGTAACCTCCTACTGAAATATAATCTCTGTATTGCTTATTTAAAAGTACAATTGACATTTCCAGCAAACGTCAATTTATTATCAATAATTTTACTTAAATATTGTCTCTGAATATTCAGCTTATGTAGCTGAATACTGAATACATAAAGTACTGTTTATTTCAGTTATATCTTCTCGTATTTATCAATGATTTTAATGTGTTTATAGTATTTTTTTGTGAATAAACTGCATGTTAAGATATATATTTTAACCTTTACCTCCTTAATGTAAAATTAAATACAATAAATTCACAAATAAAAAACAAGTTCACAAACTAACTATATGTACAGTTAAATATCCACATTCAAGATTAGATTTTACATGTTATTTACAACATATGACAGACAATTTCTTGGCTCTGGTCGGGGGTACCATAATTCCTCGGCTGCTTACCTCGCTTACTGACCAAGCAATCATGTTAAAACTCACAACACTTTCGACCAAATTCTTATAAACCATCTGCAAAATATGTTGACTCACACTAAAGTGTCGTAACCTCCTAATAAGATATAATCTCTGAATTTTTTTAAATACATATGACATTTACAGCAAATGTCAATTTACTATCAATAAATGTACCTAAATATTGTCTCTGATAAATCGTTTTCTGGACATGAATACAGTCAGACTACCCATAAACCCATAAGTACTGTTTATTTAAATTATATCTTTGTTTTCTTGTATTTATCAATGCTTTTAATGTGTTTAATATTTGTTTTGTTAATAAACTGCATGCTAATATATATACATATAATCTTTATCTTCTTAATGTAAAATTAAATTCAAAAAATTCACAAAAAACTAACTATATGTAGAGTTCATTAGCCATATTTGTGATCAGATTTTATGTTCCACAATTCATTGGGGCTACTGGTTTTAAAAAGTAGTAATATCGTTAAAGTCTTAATGGTTATAGACAGATTTACAACATATGACGATTTATAAAAAACCTATAGGCTTCTTGGCCAAATTCCTCGGCTGCTTTCCTTGCTTATTGATCATGCAATCATGTTAAAACTCACAACACTTTCGACCAAATTCTTATATACCATCTGCAAAATATGTTGACTCACATAAAAGTGTTGTAACCTCCTAATAAGATATAATCTCTGCATTGCTTTTTTTAAAAAGACATTTGAAATTTCTAGCAAATGTCAATTTATTATTAATAAATGTACTTAAATATTGTCTCTGATTTATCAATTTATGTACCTAAATACTGTTAGACTGCCTATAAACCCCTAAAGTACTTATTATTTAGTTTATATCTTTGTTTTCTTGAATTTATCGATGCTTTTAATGTGTTTGTTATATTATTTTGTACATTAACTGCATGTTAATACATATATTGTAACCTTTATCTTCTTAATCAAAAATTAAATACAATAAATTTACAAAAACTATCTATATGTACAGTTGATTGGCCATTTTTGTGATCAGATTTTACTAATTTCATTTAAATAACGATACTTTTACTTTGTTTATTATAATTTATGCAGTTGCACTCCCATTCAGAATCATCTTAGTTGATTATTTGTTTCCAAATAGAGTTTTTAAAGCCATCTGGTGAGATAATATTCCTAATAATCTCCTAAAAAGAGAATATCTCAATGTCAGACGTACATGAAATACTAACAAACATGAAGGTTTCGTTCTGTTTACGCGCACAGAGGAACAGACAGACATGTCAACCGGAAATGCGGTTAACTGTTGCTTTTAAAGTTTAATGTTTTTCAGAACCAGCAAAAGTTATTTGCTCTACTTTAAAAGTCGGAGAACTTCCCCATGTTCATTCTTCCGATGATAAACAACAGTTTAGCGAGTAAATACATTGGGTTTAGTCAATATAACATGCTAATCAACTGTTGAATCGGCAAAAAATATACTTACAATAAGAAACTCATCTCCGCTTGTCCTTCTTCTTCAAAATAGAAACGTTTAAAAGTCAAAACAAACCAGTGACAGAAGCAAATTAATTCCTAAAGTCCATAAAACAGCGTTTATAAGTGCTCCTCGAAGTTCGATGTTTAGGCGAACGATATCAGTAGGCGTAGAAGAAGTAGACTCAGGAAATGTCTACGATTGGTTCTTTTCGAGTGCCAAGTGGCTAACGGATTAAACAGTAAATTTAGTGCGGAATTAAAAGAAACTTGTCGGTTATTTGTACTAAATGTTGTTAGGATTGCACAGCACTTGTTTCAAAACGAAACTAAACAATTATCTTTAAATACAACTCCTTGCAGGCTCCTAAACGCTGTGGCTTATCCGCGCATGCGCGTTTCGGCTCAAGGGGCGGTAGTTTGTCATCGTGGATGTATGATCATGTAATGACGCTTTAGCCACGCACAGGGCATCGGGGTTATAAGCTGCCACTAAATATTTAGTGTGCACACTTTTCTGCCTTTCCCCGTCTAGTCTGTTTAGTCTCGCATACGCGCGATTTAGCCGTTTGTGAGTATTTATTTAATTTAATCTTATTTATACACACACAATGGCTACACTCCGGGCATTGCGGAAACTCTGCCGGCATTTCCACCATCAAACATGTAGTTTTCATTTGTCATCTTCAAGGTAAGTGTCCTAATTAGCATCTATTCTCATTTGTGAGTGTAATAAACACGGGGTTAGCATGTTACTAGCACTAGCGTTCATCGCTCGCGTTAAACTGATTGTCATCGAAACTGTTCAGTCATTAACTCTTTATTAGCTTCACATATGTTGTAATAATATGAGTATTACAGTTTAATGTGTTTATGATGTGTGAGATCTGCGACTTGTTCTCGGGGTTTTAGTTATGTAACAAACGCCGGTTAATTGTTCGGATGGTGTGCGCGCCCCCGAGCGGCTCGCCGGGTCCTGGAGCTCTGGCTGATGTAATGTCAGAAAACGCTTGCACACACACACACACACACACCGGCGAGGCATCAGGTTTCTACAGGGACACACTGCTGCTAATTCAGTGCTCGTGTGTTGGGTTTCCTCTCTGATGATTTTACGCAATAGTATACGCATGATTGCTCAAATTTAGCACACACCCTTGTTCATTTCTGCCTCGTCGTCGGTGATTTAGTAAATTAATTTACAGGATTCTGCACGCATGACAGATAGTTCTCATGCACTTTATCCTCATTTGGGTCTGTTTTTGTATTTTTATCATGGGAACTAAACTTTAATAATGCACAAATACACAATGTTATAGAGATGTAACCATTATAATAAATAAAACAGATTTGAGACTGTCTCTAGATGTCAAATTTATGATTTTTTTATTAAATTATCTTTTTTTTGCTTAAGTTGCTGACTTATTTTAGTATCAGAAATCAAATAAAAAAAGATACCTCAGTTTTTTAGTTATTTTCACATATCATAAGTTGTACATTGAAGAATATGCTATAACTGCATACAACATGATTGATGGAAATTACCTAAGCAAGTTTGTGTAGGAAGGATTGGAGAGGTTCCTAAAGCCTCCTGAATTTGTCCTGAGGTCATAAGTTAATTTCTACAAATGAAGAAAGACTGACAACTGAGAGATTCACGTGAAAACGGGTTGGAATTTGATTGAAGTAGATCGTTTTAGTGCACTCTCAGAAAAAATGGTACATGCTGTACCAAAGAAGGTACAAACCCTTGTCAGTGCACTTTTTTATAGGATCGAACTGTACCTTAAGACAAAGAAACACATTTGTAGCATTGCAGATTGCACCTTTAAGCACATGATTTGTACCATGGGAAACCAACATTTTTTTTAAACCTGCAGATACAACATTTTATCTTCATCAAAGGTACAAATCTGATCCATGAAGGCACCACTTCAGTGACAAGACACTTTGTACCTTAACAATCTCAAATGTGTTCCTACAAGAACTTTTAAAAGGTATTTTCTATATCCAAAATGTGTTCATTTATTATAATACATAATAAATATAAAACAAATACATTTTAAACAATGTTTCAGTTTACAAACAAGGCTCTTTTTGTTTAAATGCCATTTACAATAAAGAATAAAAAATTCTTTAATAAATTAAAAGATCTATTATTTTCTAAACATTTCACAACACTTTTCACAAAATTGTTACAGCAGTAGCGCAGTACGTAGTGCTGTTGCCTCACAGCAAGAAAGTCGCTGGTTTGAGCCTCGGCTCAGTTGGCGTTTCTGTGTGGAGTTTGCATGTTCTCCCTGCGTTCGCGTGGGTTTCCTTTGGGTGCTCCGGTTTCCCCCACAGTCCAAACACATGCGGTACAGGTGAATTGGGTAGGCTAAATCGTCCGTAGTGTATGAGCGTGTGTGTGTGGATGTTTCCCAGAGATGGGTTGCGGCTGGAAGGGCATCTGCTGCGTAAAAACTTGCTGGATAAGTTGGCGGTTCATTCCGCTGTGGCGACCCCGGATTAATAAAGGGACTAAGCCGACAAGAAAATGAATGAATGAATGAATGAATGTTACAGCAGTACATTCTCCCATCTATAAAACTTTTTTCTCCAACGTTCACACAATACCTTTATAATCACTTAAAAGTTCATTTTAGTTACTTAATTGTACAAATAAAATAGAATTATGCAAAAGTATTGTAATGAGATATGCACAATGTTTTAATAGTTTTACAACACTAAAATGAATACTTTGCATATGCTGAGATATTGATTTTAAAAAAGCTATTGTATGACCATAAGTCTTCGTTTAGTCACAGCAGCACACAGCTTATCTTCAGACCACAGCTTTGACTCCCAGTGTATCTGGATTGCTGAGCAACGCTTGTATGAGCAGATAAGTTGCACAGGAAAAACTCGTGCTCATTCATATTTGTTCTAAGTGAACAGGAGCTGTTGCCAATTTCTAGGGTTGGGTCTTGTTCTGTAGTCAGGAAACTTCTTAGGGAGTCTGCTATTTAAAAGGGTTAGTTCACCCAAAATTAAAAACGATCCCATCATTTACTCGCCCTCAAGTGTATATGACTTTCTTCTTTCAGTCTAATGCTGCGTTCACCAGACCCAGATTAAGCATCAAAAGCGAGTGATTTACATGTTAAGGGAATGCAAAGACACGAATAGACATCCTACAGTGCGATTCGTGTGAAGAAGGTGGTGCGAATGACGCGATTCACACAAATGAAGTAGCACTAGTTGAGTGTTTTACACGTTAAAAAAGATTAACGTGCGAGTCGCTCGAGTTGGAAAATCTGAACTTCAGCAGACATTCAGGAGTGAATGAAACGACAAACTCAAAATGTTCACGCGTCTATTTATGCGCTAATTGCGCATGTTGTGTCCAGTGAAAACACAGCAAAAGTTATTTAGACAATTTTAGATTTGGCCTTTCAGGCTCCATTTACAAGTCCAAAGAAGTCAAATAAAGCACATCTATCCATAATAAAAAAAGTGGGGATGCACAGAAATTAAAATTTTGGGGCAAAACCAAAAGACATTATTTACCCCTGAGAGCAGTACGAGGCACTTTTCTACTATGGATTCACTTTATTTGCCTTTTTATAATAAAAAAACATTGTAGAACTGGAAATATAATATAAAAATAATTATATAATATAAAAATAATATGTAAATATAATATAAAATAATTATAAAATATAAAAATAATATATAAATATAATATAAAATAATTATAAAATATGAAAATAATATATAAATATAATATAAAATAATTATAAAATATGAAAATAAGATATAAATATAATATAAAATAGTAATATAATATAAAAATAATATATACATTTAAAATAAAATAATGATATATTATAAAAAAATAATATATACATATAATACAAAATAATTATTTAATATAAAAATAATATATAAATATAATGTAAAATAATTTTCAAAATGACTTGGACTAAAGTGGACTGAAAGAAGAGAGTCTAATACACCTAGGGTGCCTTAAGGTAGAATAAATAATGAGATCATTTAATTTTTTTGCGTGAACTAACCGTTGTAGACCTGTCTCAATCACAAAACCCTTTTAGTGCAATGAAACCTTCACTCCCTAAAAAAGTCCAAAAATGCACCATGAAAATCAGGAAGCATTGATGATCACTAGGTTCACTATATGGAAGTTGAAAATCGTGAAACACCTCCCCAAACATATCGACACACAATACACTTAGTTATTTAGTTAAATGTAACCATAATCCAGCATTTTTAGAACGTACAGAGCAATCTAGCATACAAGTATAAATGATAATTGGTTGAAAAGTTGCTGTTATGCGAACCAGTTACTTATATTATACTTGTAAATACCCTAGTTTTTTTACATCAAGGATATATTATACTAAAATACCACATAATTTACTGTAGTTCAAACTAAAGTATAAGTGCAAGCCTGGATCACTGGTGATCGTGACAGATACAGTATTTGATAGTTGATCAGTTTAATAAAGGGATAGTTCCCACAATGTTTACATTCCCTCAAGTGGTTGCAAACCTTCTATATATTGTACACAAAATCAACATTTTGAAGCACGCCAAAAACCTGTAACACAAATACTATGCAAGCCAATGGTTACAGGTTTTCAGAAACTATCTCCTTTTGTGCTCAACAAAAACAAAAAGAATCGTATAAAGGTTTGAAAAAAGTAAGCGTGACAGAACTTTTTATTTTTGGGGAAGCCATCGCTTTTAACACTATACAGTGTGCTGGATCATACATTAACAGTTGTGTAAATGCTATAATAGATACAGTATAATTATTAGAATAGGTTTTTTATGGATGTGGGCAATGAGGATCCTCTCATGCCCTTTAGTCCTCTTTTCTTCCAGATAAGAGGCTGTTGTCAAATGCAAAAAGTATGAATATGCATTTCATCCTATTCATATAGCGCAAAAACGCTTCTTAATTGGTGTTTTTGTCTCATTTTTAGTCTAAATTTCTAAATAAATAAATAAATCAAGAAGCATTTTCTAGACAACAACAAATATGTCAAAAATAAGTGAGTTTTTTTTTCTTAAAACAAGCAGCGTAATCTGCCAGGTTAAGTAAAACAGTCTTATTTTCAATCCTCCTTTGTTCTCCAGACAAGATGCTGTGGTGATCTCCGGTCGGAAACTGGCCCGTCAGATCCGCAATGAAGCACGTGATGATGTGGAGGAGTGGGTTTCTGCTGGAAATCGACGGCCTCACCTGAGTGTGGTTTTAGTAGGTGACAATCCAGCCAGTCACTCTTACGTCCTCAATAAGACCCGCGCGGCAGCTGAAGTTGGTAAGACACTCTCTATTACATTGCTAGATCATTCCGTGGTCATCCTATATACGGTTGAAGGCAGAGTTATTAGCCCC